ACACGGAAATTACCCCTATCAGATATTATCTAATTAACAAATTAGATAATATCAATATTATCCAAAATATTTTAAATATATTTAAATATACTAATATTGATAAATAATCAATATTTATCAAAATTTAAGTGTCTACAAATGCCCCCTCGAGACTTGCTTGTACACCACTTGAGAGCATATAACACTCGAAAGTATGTAGTGCAAGAAAGTTTCGACACTACAACTTAAAGATATAAGGCCGTTTCAACTCGTGCCAAGGAGCCTTGAAAGATATGAGGCCGTTTAAACTCTGGCCAAGGAGTCTGAATATAAGGTCGTTTAAACTCGTGCCAAGGAGTATCATTTAGCCTCCTCCATTTCAAATTTCATATGGTGTTTGCCCCCATACCGGTTGAAAGTGTTTAGGAAGAGATGAGAGGCAGAGCTGTCCCACTGGGTGTGCCAATTTGTGAACAAAGAAAATTGAATATATTCTTTACCCGTGGGAAAAAGCTCAAAAGAATTATGGTTAATCAAGGCTCAGCTGTCAACATCCTATCCCTTCGAGCTGTGAAGGACCTTGGTATATCTACGGATGAGCTTGCCCAAAGTCGTCTAATGATACAAGGCTTCAACCAAGGAGGGCAAAGAGCAATCGGCATCATCAGACTTGACTTGAGAATTGGAAGCCTGAGTTCTGGTGTCCTCTGCCATGTCATAGATGTAAGGACATCTTATAACTTGTTACTTGGAAGGCCGTGGATACATGAAAATGGGGTGGTACCCTCGTCTTGGCATCAATGCCTCATGTTTGAAAAGAACGGTGTAGTTGAAAAGGTAGTCACCGATGAAAGCCCTTTCACAGAAGCTGAGTCTTACTTTGCAGACGCAAAGTTCTACATTAAGAAGCAAGTCATTGTTGAAGATGTTGAGGAAAGCAATGACAACCCACCTTTCCAACCAAAGTCAAAAGGAAAGCAAGTTGTAGAGGGAAATCAACCCAACACAAAACTCATCTTCCCGCTTGCACGGATTGATACACTTAAAGAAAATGCAACAAAATCATCTGAAGAGAAAGGTGGTGATAAAGTGAGCCAAATATTCCCCGCCAAACGTACTGAGGGTTTCGACCCTAACGCTTATAAGCTTCTAGCCAAAGCTGGCTATAACCCCAACGAGCCACAGAAGTTGGGAAAGCTTATCCCAGAAGCCGGTGGTAAAGGCAAAGCAAATCACCAAGAACCTCAAACGCGCAAAGGGTTGGGCTATGTCCCTCCTAAACCAGTGCGGATTCTTATAAATAGGGCTGCAAGTAATTGTATCTCCACGGAGGGAAGTGAGTATGACCCAAAACTCACTCCTACCAATGATAATGGGCAAGACAAAAAGAAGTCAGTCTTCGACCGAATTGCTAAGGCGGACTCTCGACGCTCAGTCTTTGATAGACTGGGGTCAAGTCCTAAAGCCCTAAAGAGAAAGTCGATGCATGATCGACTTGGAGCTGTCCAAGTTATTAAAGACATTGCCAATGTTCCTGTTGAAGTGGAACCTCCCAAAAGGCTTAGAAGCATGATTCCTTCTCGTATGAGACGAGAAACATATATTCATGTTTCATGTGGTGAAGTGTTGAAAGTCCAACCGAAAACCATTGTACACACTCGTGTACATAAAGAAGAGAATGAGGAAAGCGTAGGCTCAAGTGATGACGTACCACCAACCACTTAGGGAGAGGTGGCATCGTCGTTCCATATCACTTTGTGTGATGAGACCCCGATTGAGGGGGAAGATGCGGAGGATGCACCCCATGAGTTAGAGGAAGGGGTACGAGCCGCAGTGGATGAATTAAAAGAAGTTGATATGAGAACTCCTGAAAATCCTCGTCCTATTTTCATTAGCGCATTCCTATCTGATGAAGATGAAGAAATCTATGTCACATTGCTGAAAGAATATATTGATGTCTTTGCATGGACATACAAGGAGATGCTAGGGTTAGACCCAAAGATAGTTGTGCACCGCTTAGCAGTGAAGAAGGGGTGTCGCCCGATTAAGCAAGCTCAACGACGCTTCCGCCCCAAGCTCATTCCCTCGATTTAAAAAGAAGTTAATAAGCTTATTGAGGCTGGCTTCATTCGTGAAGTTAAATATCCAACCTGGATATCCAGTATTGTGCATGTGCGCAAGAAGAACGGCCAGATCCGCGTCTGCGTAGATTTTCGGGACCTCAATGTGGCATGCCCGAAAGATGACTTCCCGCTTCCTATCACGGAGTTAATGATAGATGCCGTGACTGGGCATGAGATCCTGCCATTCATGGATGGCTCCTCCGGTTATAATCAAATCCGCATGGCGCCGAAAGATGAAGACTTAACTGCATTCCGAACGCCGAAAGGCATCTACTGTTACAAAGTAATGCCCTTTGGTTTGAAAAATGCAGGTGCTACATACCAACGGGCTATGCAGACAATATTTGATGATATGCTGCACAAAATGGTTGAATGCTATGTAGACGACCTGGTTGTGAAGTCGAAATTGCGCACAAATCATTTGGTGCATTTAAGGCAAGTCTTCGACCGCCTACGGAAGCTTCAACTCAAAATAAACCCCTTGAAATGTGCTTTCGGGGTTGCTGCTGGAAAGTTCCTCGGGTTTACTGTTCGACACAGGGGCATCGAGATTGAACAAGCCAAAATTGACGCTATAATGAAGATGCCTGAGCAAGGTTCATATCAAACTGATGGTTTTATTGGGACCGGGTACAGGAGTACAGAACGGGGGGTAGGGCTCTAGGCCCAACACGATGTGTATAGAAGCCCAAGAATAGCAACCCAAAATACAAAGAACAAGCCCCACAAGATGCGCTATTGCTAACTATGCTACTGCTTGGAATCGAACCCAGGTGACTGGATTGAGAGTATGAGATCAAGACCACTGGATTAGTGTGCCTGTTGTGTCTAAGTTACCCCCTAGATAAGGATCCTAAGGATCCAAGACCCCCCATTTATAGCATACCCCCCCTCATTTTTTGGCGTCCACGTGTCCCACATTGCCACTCCCCACTCCGCTTGCTTGTCGCCATTTACATCACGTTCTCCGCCTTTCCCGGATCCTATCTCCTTTACCACCTTGCTCACACCACCCGCCGACTCACCATGCTCGGCGCACCAGCCCACCCCCTGCATGCAGATGCCGCCCGAGACCGACACCCTGGGGCGCTGGGACCGCGGCCGCACAGGGCCGCGCACCGGATGCGCCGGGTGCGCCACGGCCGGCAGGGGCCCCGACTCCTCCCTCGGTCACCAGCGCCGGCCCCCCGCCCGGGGCCGGCTATGGCCCCAGCGCGCCGGGCGCCAAGGCCGCGCTGGCCCACGCCCCGGGCGCGCCGTGGTCGGCCGGGGCCAGCGCCCCGGTCGGCGTCCCTGGCCGGCCACCGGCGATTGCCCTCGCCCGGGGCCGGTTGTGGCTCCCAGCGCGCCGGGCGCCAAGGCCGCCCTTGCCCGCACCCAGTGGGGCCAGTGCCCCGGTCGGCGTCCTTGTCCGACCGCCGGCGCCGGGTAGCGCCGGCGGCCCCTCCTGGCTTCCGGCCCAATCTCTTCGCCGCCTCCTCTCGGCCCAATTACGTAGGCCCTTTGCATCCATGGCCCACCTCCAATATCCCCATCACAAGTCCCCCACTCCATTTAGGTATCTTGATACCTAACTGGAGTAGAAATAGGGTTTTTACTCAGTCCTTTTCCCACTTAGATTAAATAAATGGTTCCCCCCTAAAATCTCAACTACTCCCATCCTCCTATTTAAAGCTAATTTTTTCCTTGTCACCTCCACATCCTCTCATCTTCTGCTATAACCAGCTCCCCACGCCCCAACTGCTTACCGCTCTGAACCCAGCCTCGGCCCCGTGCTATTCACACCATGAGCTCCCCCCAATCAGTGCCGTCATCTCCTACTACTCATCCCGTCGCTCCTATCCCTGGTCTGGCAACCACTCTGCCCCCTAACCGGGGCTTGGGGGTTTTCGGTATCACCCGTTCGCCCATCACCGCTGGAAATTCTCCGGCCCTTTCTAATCCATCTTCTCGTCCTGTTCAGAGGTCGCTCCTTATGTCGCCCATGTCACCTCATGCCCCTCCTACTGCCGGTATTTCCGTCCGCCATCTTAATCCTTCTACTCCCCGCGGCATACGTGCTAAAATCTCTAGGGCCGAACTTGATTGTTTGGACAGATGGTTGGGCCCAAATGTTGAGATTACCGTGCCCGGGGAGGACCGGACCATGACCAATCCCCCATCGGCTAATAGGGTGGCCGTGCATTATCACTCGATCCAGGCAGGCCTTCAGTTTCCCCCTCATCCTCTGGTCCGGACGTTTCTTGAATGCCACGGTATAGCGCCCTGTCAATTGACTCCGAACGGTTATTGCTTTATCACCTGTTTTATCACCCGGTGTCGAGAAACCCAGGTAGCACCTTCACTGTCTTTACTTTTACATGTTTTCAACGTGAGCCAAAGTGGGTCGTCTTTCCTCCACCTTCAACCTGTCTCTAATCACCCCTTCGTGACCTCCCTATCCTCTCTCCCAAAAAATTGGAAAGAGAAGTTTGTATACCTTCGTTATCCCACTGATGATTCTGGGCTGGGGTTTAGTAACGTGTGGGTGCAGCGCCCTCCTCTCTATACACCTCCCGACTATTCAGGTCTGGATGATGACAGGGCGCGAATGTGCGCCGATGGTCCCCATGATCACCGTAGGTACCATGAGCCCTCTCGGCTCCACCAACTTAGCACCGGTCCGCCTCTAGGTACGTGTATATATATATATATATATATATATATATATATATATATATATATATATATATATCTCTTTTTTTTAGGTGTATGTATATATATACTTTTTTTTGTACGTGTATGTATATATATCTTCTTCTTCTTTTTTTTTTGTACGTGTATGCATATATCTGGTTTTTTTTTTTCTTTTTCTTTTTTTTTTTTGTACGCACTGATGGTTATATCCGCTGTGCCCAGCTCCTGTGGAGAGTACTCCCCAAATGCTCAAGGCCTACCAGACTCGTAAACGACGACGGGCTCCCAGTTCCGAAGCCGTTTCTGGTGATGATGCTGAGGATGATGATGACGGGGCATCGTCGGTGGGACTTATAGATGACCCTATCATGGACGGGGTGGATTCCAACATACAGTTTTCGCCTACCCAGTTCTCCCAGTTACTCCTTTCCATTCTGTGGACTTCCCTTCTCGTGGGCCCTCTCTGGCCGCACCGCAAGCTACGCCCAGTCCTACCGGTGAGTATGATGCTCGGGATCCTCTAGCTGCTCGGATTTCGACCGGTCCGGGCCGCCCTCGTCTTCGTCCCTACGATCCTGGTCATATGGACTTCATTGTTCGTGGAGTGCGAGATATGGTACCAGCCCATCGGCGCTTCTGGATTGATAGTACTCCGATGGAGACCTTGAGTTCCCGCCAAGTTGGAGATTCCATGAACGTGAGTGGCCCCTCTCCCCCCCCCCCCCCCCCCCCCCCTTTTTTTTTTTTTAACTGTGCGTATCCTGTGGTTCCCTGTTTTATGCAGATGGTTATGCAATCCATCGGGCTTCACCAGCGCCTGCAGGAGGCCTCACGAGAGTATACTGAGTTAGAAAAGACACAACAGGGTTTAGAGCGTACTCTCCGGGAAGAGGAGGAGGCTCGTAGGCGCGTCATGAGAGAATTAAAAACCTTGAAGGAAGCACACCAGACCCTGCAGCAAGAGTATCAGGCCTTGGGGGATAAGCAACAGGCCCATCAGGAGGATCACAGGATTCTGGGGGAGAAGCACAAAACTTTGAGGGAGGAGCACCAGGTCCTGCGGGGGGAACACAAAACTTTGCAGGAGGAGCATAAAAAACAGCGGCTAGATCATGACAAGGCCCTTGAGGGTGTCGTGGAGGACTGGCAAAGGACTGAAGATTTTGCGCGCGCTGCCAGTGAATATTCGTTCACACGTATGCCTGGGCTGATCCGCTGGTGGTTAGGGCATTCGGATCGTTCTGGCGAAGGTATGGTCGAGGCCATGTTAAGGTGGCAATCTGTGCAGGAGTACCATGATTATACGGGCCCTCCACTTGTACAGGTCCTCCAGGAATGGGCCACTACCCCCGGGGGCAGGGCGGCCATGGGGCCGGTAGCGGAGGTGTGGTTGAGCGAGACGCTAGAAGGTCAAACCAGGTTGGTGCAGGAATGCAAAACGACGTTTTACATGGGGCAACGAGATGTGCAGGACAAGCTTTACGGGAAGCTGGAACGTCGGTTCACCTCTTTCAGTATTGAAGGGTGGAAACTGCCAGACGTCCTTCCTCTTCGACCTACTCGAGCTCCGGCCACTCCTTCTTCTACCACGCCTGCTGGCGGTGATGTGCTTATGACTCCTGAGGTGGCCCAACATGGTGTGACGTCGTCTGTTGCGGCTCCCTCGGAACCTGTGGCCGGATCTGGTATTTTCGGGAGCGTAGACCCTTTCAATCTCCATCTCACTATCAACTCAGGCTCCGGATTTTCTAGCTCGGCTGCCGCTTCTGCAGCCCCATAGCCTTTAGACATAGATAGCGGATTTTTTTTTTGTTTCTAATTTCGGATATTTCGGCAACCTTAATAATCTAGTGATAATCTAGTTACGTCTTTTTTGTTTTGTTTTTTGTTTTTTGTTTTTTGTTTTCTTTTTCGCCATGCAATTTGCCGCCAACTCCATGCGGCTTGCCAGTGGCAAGTCCGTGCATGTGGGTTGCGATAACCCTCATGCCCCATCCGCCAATGCCATGCGGCTTGCCGGGGGCAAGTCCGCGCATGTGGGTTGCGATAACCCACATGCCCCATCCACCAACGCCATGCGGCTTGCCGGGGGCAAGTCAGTGCATGTGGGTTGCGATAACCCACATGACCCATCCGCCAATGCCATGCGGCTTGCCGGCGGCAAGTCCGCGCATGTGGGTTGCGATAACCCACATGCCCCATCCGCCAACGCCATGTGGCTTGCCGGAGGCAAGTCAGTGCATGTGGGTTGCGATAACCCACATGACCCATCCGCCAATGCCATGCGGCTTGCCGGGGGCAAGTCCGCGCATGTGGGTTGCGATAACCCACATGCCCCATCCGCCAAAGCCATGCGGCTTTCCGGGGGCAAGTCCGCGCATGTGGGTTGCGATAACCCTCATGCCCCATCCGCCAACGCCATGCGGCTTGCCGGGGGCAAGTCCGCGCATGTGGGTTGCGATAACCCACATGCCCCATCCGCCAACGCCATGCGGCTTGCCGGCGGCAAGTCCGCGCATGTGGGTTGCGATAACCCTCATGCCCCATCCGCCAACGCCATGCGGCTTGCCGAGTGCAAGTCCGCGCATGTGGGTTGCGATAACCCACATGCCCCATCCGCCAACGCCATGCGGCTTGCCGGTGGCAAGTCTGCGCATGTGGGTTGCGATAACCCACATGCCCCATCCGCTAGCGCCATGCGGCTTGCCGGGGGCAAGTCCGCGCATGTGGGTTGCGATAACCCACATGCCCCATCCGCTTGATGTCTGTAATACTCAATGCAATGTGTGAAAATCACGGATATTATTAACATGCGACACAATGTCACCTACAAGGGAAATATAAGTCACTTACGATGCAACATACCACGGTAATGCCATGGGAGTCGCGTTATTTGTTATTCCTTGAGCTACTCTATTTACTGAAAGAACCTTCGCAGGTGGTGGGCGTTCCATACGCGGTCCACGGTCCTGCCCTGCATTGTTTTGAGTTTGTAAGTGTTTTTGTGCACTGACTCCGCCACTTCGTACGGCCCCTCCCAGTTTTTGGCCAGCTTGCCTCCCTGAAGTGGTTTGCTGGCTTCTCGTCGTCGTAGGACTAGGTCGCTGACCTGGAAATTGCGGGGCCATGTCCTTGCGTCGTGGTAGCGTTTTATCGCCTGTTGATAAATAGCAATATTTCGCCTGGCTGCATCCCTCCTCTCCTGTAGGAAATTTAGTTCAACCCGAAGGTCCTCATCATTCTGGCCAGGTTGTAATCGCGTGCTCCTTCTCGCGGGGGTTATCACTTCTACTGGTGTCCGTGCTTCGCACCCGTATGTGAGGGCGAAAGGGTTATCCCCCGTTGCCTTTTGGGGGGTTGTTCTATAGGCCCATAGTATGGACGGTAGTTCCTCGTACCAGGTGGATCCTGTTGCTTCGACTCTCTTCTTAATTCCGTCAATGATGGTGCGGTTGGCGTTCTCTACCTGACCGTTAGCTTGGGGATACGCCACGGCTACCTTGATATGCTCCACCCCGTAATAAGCGCAAAAATGAGCAAAATCTTGGTTGTCAAACTGCATGCCGTTGTCGGACACGATTTGCTGGGGTAACCCAAATCTCGTGAAGATATTTTTCCACACGAATTTTCGGCACTGGGTCCCTGTGATGGAAGCAAGGGGCTTTGCTTCTACCCATTTGGTGAAATAGTCTATGGCCACGATTAAGAACTTCAGGCCTCCCACCCCTTTGGGGAAAGGTCCCGCCAAGTCGATGCCCCAACGCGCGAATGGGATGGCTGAGGTGACCGGGGTGTAGTAAGAGGCGGGCTTGCCGGGTAAAATCGCGAATTGTTGGCATGTAGGGCACTTCCTCACGTAGTCTTGGCAATCGGATCTAATGTGGGGCTAGTAATATCTTTGTAAGATAATTTTCCTGGCCAGGGTTTGGGCGCCCTGGTGTGCGGCGCACACCCCTTCGTGGAGTTCCGCTATGACTTTGTCGGCCTCTGCTCTGGTTAAGCATCGGAGCATGGGCCATCCAAAGGATAGTTTGAATAATCTTCCTTCAACCATTCGGTAAGACGGGGCCATGGACACTATTTTCTGTGCTCTCTGGGGGTCGTGTGGTGCGAGACCCTGTTCCTTGTAACGGATCATCTCCTGCATCCATTCATCCGGGGATGGTATTACAGCTAGGACCTCGTCCTTACCTATGCTGGGTGCATCGATGTCGATTGTCCGGGCTATCTTAGACACATAACTTAGGTGGTCTTCGACACCTTGGGCCACTCGGGACAGAAGGTCCGCCTCGCCGTTGTCTGTCCTCGGAATTTGGGCTAGTTCCCATTGCTCTACAGATGCCAATAGTCTTTGGACTACATCTCGGTATTGCCGCATCCTGTCTTCCCGTGCTTCGAACTGATTGTTGACGTGGCCCACGACTAGTCGCGAGTCTGACCGAATCTTGAGGTTGCGTGCTTGCAGGGCCTGGGCCAACCTCATGCCCCCGATTAATGCCTCATATTCAGCTTCGTTGTTGGAGAGAGGGAAGCAGAATCTGAGGGCTTGGTAGGCCCTGAATCCTTCCGGCGAGATGAGCACGACGCCACCTCTGCAACCCTTTTTACTCGAGGCGCCATCGGTATACATCTCCTACTCTCCTGCGCCTTCTTTAGTCTGTCCTTCCTGGCGTTCCGGGATAGTGCACTCCACGATGAAGTCAGCGAGGGTTTGACCCTTGATAGCCGTGCGGGGGCGGTATTCGAGACTATACTGGGAGAGTTCGACCGCCCACTTCACCATGCGGCCTGACGAGACCGGATTTCTCAGGATGGTGCCCAGGAGCTGGTCTGTTAGGACGATTACGTGGTGTGCTTGGAAATTGTATACCAGTTTTCGGACCGTTCTCATGAGGGCGTATACTGTTTTTTCAAGCGGGGTGTACCTGAGCTCGACGTCATGCAGGGCTCTGCTAACGTAATAGATAGGTTTCTGGATGCCTGTTTCCTCTCTGAGTAGCACCGAGCTAATGGCCGCGGGTGCCACCCCAAGGTATACATACAATGTCTCCCCTTTCTCCGGCTTGGAAAGGACTGGTGCCGCGGACAAATATGCCTTAAACTGGTCGAAGGCCTCTTGGCATTCCGGGGTCCAGGTGAAGCCGCTCCTTTGCTTCCTGATCTGGAAGAATGGGAGGGACTTCTCTGCGAGCTTGGACATGAATCTGTTCAAGGCGGCCAGCCAGCCGTTGAGTCTCTGGACGTCTTTTATCATTGTGGGGGGCTGCATCTTGAGGATGTTTTGTGCCTATTCGGGGTTGACCTCTATCCCCCGGTGAGTAACCATAAACCCCAAGAATTTTTCCCCTGTCACCGCGAACGCGCATTTCTTCGGGTTCAGGCGTAAGTTCTTCTGCTTCATAATCTCAAAGCACTGGGTTAGATATGCTGGGTGGGTACCGGCATCCTTGCTTTTTACCAGCATGTCGTCCACGTAGGCCTCCATTATATTTCCAAGGAGGTCCTTGAATATTTCTGCTACCATGCGGGTAAATGTGGCCCCGGAATTTTTTAGACCGAACGCCATGACCCGATAACAATATATCCTATCCGGGGTCACGAACGCCGTTTTCTCTTCGTCCTCTTCCGCCATGAAGATCTGGTGGTATCCTTTGAACGCATCCATAAAACTCAGCAGTTCACATCCAGATGTCTCGTATACCAATTGATCCGTACGGGGCAAAGGAAAAGGGCCTTGGGGGCATGCCTTGTTTAGATCCGTGTAGTCCACGCACATGTGCCATGTCGGAGGCTTTGGGGCTAGGACCATGTTGGCCAGCCACGCCGGATACATTGCCTTCCGTATGTGCCCTATCGCTAGGAGCGTGTCTACCTCTGTCTTCACGAATGCCCTCCTCTCGGCCGACAAGTGTCGTCTTTTCTGATTAACAGGTTTAAAACTAGGATCTACCACCAGCCTGTGTGATATGATGGAGCGGTCGATCCCAGGCATGTCTTCGGGACCCCACGCGAATATCATCGAGTATTCGCGTAGAACGGCAATGACCTGTTCCCGCAGTCTCGGGGCAAGGCCTTGCCTATCCTGACGCATTTGTCTGGTTGACTTGGGTCCAAGGGGATCTCCTCCAACTCCATGGCTGGTTCGGGCCCCACCTTCTTCTCCCTCTCGGCCTCCTTCTCCACTGTATGGACAGGTAATTCTTCCGTTAGCATTCTCTTGCATGCCGTCTTATAGCACATCCGGGCGAGATGCTGATCACCCCGTACCGTCCCCACCCCCTCGGGGGAATGGAATTTCAAACATAGATGCTCCATCGAAATAAGTCCGCACAATGCTGCCAGCCCAGGCCTCCCTAAGATGAGGTTATGGGGGCATACTATCCTCACTACGAGGAACTCCATGTCCACTTTTTTCACGTACGGGGGGTTGCCAACTTCCACGGGGAACACTATCGATCCCTCTGTCTCTATGGTGTCCCCAGTGAAACCAGCCAGTGGCGTCCTCACTGGTCGGAGCTGGTCCTCGCTCAGTCCTAACTTCACGAATACGTCGTGATACATTACGTTGACACTGCTGCCTGTGTCCACAAGCACGCGCTTGACACAGACCCTGTTGACCACCATGGCGACCACGAGTGCGTCCTTCGGGGTAGTCTCTCGTGCTGGCAAGTCGTTGTCTAAAAACCAAATTGGTTCCCGGCGGGGCCTTTTCAACTGGGGGTGTTCGTCCACCGCACCTACATAACTGCCACCATCTACCCTCGAGGCCCCTCCTCCAAAGATGACATTGATCACTGGGCGCTTCCCCGGGTCTTCTCTGGAGTCA